GAATTCCTTTTTATTGTGATCTACGTTCAGTAGTGAGAAGTGCCACAAAGTCTCTGTTTATCAAGGAAACTCATTGGAAAAATATTTTATTTCCATTTAATTTTACTACTTCCACTTACTTCAAAAGAGTAGGGTAAGATTTAGATAAGTAGGCAGATAATAAAAACCCCACCCTCTTAAAGAAGTTATGTGCTAGTCATGCAAAACAGATCTCTTAATTTTTAGTTTCATAAACAAGATCTGATACTGTGGTGCATCTTTTATGTTCTTTGATAGATGTGTCTAAAATGAAATTATTTCTAGTAAGCGAATCAGGCATTATTTTTTTCACAGCTTCCATGCCAATTGTTGGTGTCTGATCACTCTTTCAAATTCCCTTGGCTTGTGTAGTTAAAAACCAAGCAAACAGACAAAACATTTAAAATGCTAGTATATTGAGTACTAATTTTTATTTTCATTTTAAAAAAAATGCTTCACCAGAGGTGGAGAAATACTCTACTGTGGTAGATACACAGACTGGTGTATGCTATCAGAGATTGACATTTATTTGCATCCTAAAAGGGGTTGATTTCCTGGCTGATTTCTTGCTACAGCTGCAGCAGAAAATGTTATTAAATATATAACCTCTAAGAACTTAGTGAACTGGGGAACCTATTAAATCAACTTGAGTTACAGTCAACAGGAATTGTCATCTGATCATACAGCTTTCTCACAGGTAAGATCCAGCTGCTGCAAACCAATGTTGAGCCACATGAAAAATTAACTTAAAACACTGGTTAACTGTGTAATACAGGTAAATATTAAGAATTCCATTATTTGCTTGCCAGTGGCTGCTAAGTGTTGTGGTGTTTTGTTTTGTTTGGGTTTTTTACATTGATTTGTATGTGTTTCTTTTGTGTCTGTTTTCCACTACTTGTATTATTCAAGAACATGGCCCTTCCAATACCTTCTTGCTAAGCAGACTGAAGACCAGAGAAACCCTTACCTTCAGGAAGTAGTTGCTGGTACCACTGTAACAGCTTACTTGCTCTAACCAGAATACTTTGGTTTGGTTTCTTTGTGCTTTAGCACTTTCTGCAGCAGAAATTTTGTTTAAGAGAAGAAACAA